AAGTCAAGCAAGTCAGCATTTATTCACTCAGGTCATGCCGATGAGGTGATAAGATCTGTCTTTGATGTTACACCAAGGGAAGAGGACCCACCCTTCAAGTCAGACACACTGAGACTATCACCCTGTGATTCACTGCCTACCGCTGGTTTGGGGACTCCTGTTCTGAATCCACCTGGAGATGCCACAGCACTATCTGAAGGTAAGTTTAATTATCCTAACTAGTGGAAAATATGTGGACACTGAAGTGGACATAATTTTTAGAAAAAGCCAGAGGCCGGGTTCAGTAACTCACACCTCTCATCCCAGCAACTTAGAAGGCTGAGGCAGGAAGACTGCTTGAGCCCAGGAGTTTGAAACCAGCGTGGACAACACAGTAAGATCTTGTCTCTATTTTTTTTTTTAATTTTAATAATAAAATAAAAAAATAAGAAAAAGACAGAGGTCATTCAGAGTTAAGAGTCTGACACATAAGATGATCAAACTATATTAACAGGGCTTTAGTAAGAGTATAATAGTAAGCATGATGATAAGGAAAAATTCTAGTTTTCTTCTGTTGCACATAGAAGTGCAATGATATGCAGTCTCTTGAACAATGGAAGTTTTCAAATATTTTTTAAAAGATGTAAAATGTCATAAGCAAATATAATATATGGAGCTGACTACAACAGAGACTGAGAAAAGTGAAACGGCTGAGAAAAGTTAAGATACCATCTGGATGTTAGATGCTATTGAGGGCTTGCCACTCATTTTGTTAGGCGGCATAATGGTATGTTGACTAGTTAGAAAAGTGTGTATTTTAGTTGAGTGTGGTGGTGTGAGTCTGGAGTCCCAGTTACTCGGGAGACTGAAGGGAGGGTGGCTTGAGCCCAGGAGTTTGAGGCTAGCCTGGGCAACATAGCAAGACCCTGTTACTCTTAAAAAGTAAGATTAAAACATTTTTTTAAGTGTGCTTATCAGTTAGAAATGAGTATATTTGTGGGTGAAATATATAAGAGAGAAAGTATTTATGGGTGAACTGACATGATACCTTAAATTAAAAAAAAAACAATAAATGAGGTGGGAGGAAAACAGATGAAATGAGTTGGCAAATGCAGGAAGTTGTTGAAACTGGGTGATGGGTCCACAGGCAGCTTATTCTATGCTTCCTTCTGCCTTTGTGGCTATCAGAAGTATTGGAATAATTTTATAACCTCCCTTCGTGGGAGGGAGGAATATGGATTTGCATTTCTAAGTATGGCAGGGCTTATTAAAACACTGGCTTCATTACCTCTCAGGTACACTGTGTACCTGCTGCACGCAATTCCCAAACCCATGGATCACATGCCAGGATTCAAGGTCAAGACACACTAACAGGTACTCAGCACAATCATTCTGCCACTCCACTCACAATTTTTACTTTGAAATGTTCTAGGATTATTTTTTAATGGCCCAGAATGTCTAATTAAATGTCCTGGGACATAAAACTTTCTGCATGTCCGCCCAGTTTCACTTCTTTAATGTATTACTAATATTTTTGCATGCAGAATGAGAACCACAAGCATCAACAGTGTGCCTAAGTGTGGGCAGCAACAAGGGTAAACAAGGTCGGGTTTGGCACCTTTGTAGCTCGTTTCCTTGACAAGAAAATGGTAAACACAGGAAGCTACAAGGAGTCTCTAATTGCTTTTCCATCTTTGTTCTCTTCTGCTACATTCCTTTCTGAAAACTTGGAAAATACACACATTAAAAAACCCCAACAAATGAGGCTCCAGTCTATTTTTTAGTAGAGATGGGGTTTCAGCATGTTGGCCAGGCTGGTCTCAAACTTCTGACCTCAGATGATCTGCCCGCTTCAGCGTCCCAAGTGCTGGGATTACAGGCATGAGCCACTGTGCCCAATCTTTTCTAGTTCTTTTATAGTTTTACTTCTTACATCTAGTACTTTATTCAACTTAAACATTATTTTGGAATGTGACATAGGAAAACTTAGAATGTTCTCCACTATGTTAATGTCTTATCCCAGCATAATTTAATGAATAATTCATCCTTTCTTAACCTGTTTGAAAAAATCACTTTTATCACATACGAAATCATCAGCTCAGACCTCTTCGTTTTTCAAGGTAATACACCCACAGAGTCATCCATTTAGCAAGGACGCCTTTCCTGGGTTCAGAAAGAAAGTTGCTTTTCTTGTTTCACCTTTCCATAGGATTGGATCTTCTCTTTTATAGCACTTACTGGAATTGCAACGAAACAGTTATTTGTCTAAAGGTCCAACTCTGATGGAGTAAAAATTTCCTGAAGGTAGAATCAGCGTTTACCCTGAAAGCCCTAGCACCTAGTAAAATGCCTGATACAGAAACCAAGTTCCAGAAAACATTACTGAGTAGTTAGCAGATATGAAGCATATAAGGGGTGCTTAGTAGACTCTGTCTCCTTTGATTTGCCAATAACCGTATTAGGTAGATACTACAAGTATCTATTTTACAGATGAAAAAAACTGAAGTCAAGGAAGATTAAGGAACCTGTTTGAGGTTTGCCCAGTTAGTAAGGGGCAGAGCAAGAGTTTAAACTGGGGACTTCTTGCTTTAGAATCTGTTTTTGTTTTTTTTTTGAGACACAGTCTTGCCCTGTCATCAGGCACCAGGCTGGAGTGCAGTGGTGCAATCTCGGTTCACTGCAGCCTTTGCCTCCCGAGTTTAAGTGATTCTCCTGCCTCAGCTTCCTGAGTAGCTGGGATTACAGGCACCCACCACCGCACCACATCCAGATAAATGTTTGTATTTTTAGTGGAGACGGGGTTTGATCATGTTGACCAGGCTGGTCTCAAACTCCTGACCTCAGGTGATCTGCCCGCCTCAGCCTCCCTAAGTGTGGGATTATGGGTGTGAACCACCACGCTCGGCCAATAAACACCTTCTTCAAGTGTTTCACCCTGGGTTCTCTGTCCTAGAATTTAGTAAGCAGTTTAAGTTTAGGTTAATCTTCCCAGACACATGCCTCTTCATCTTCATCTAAGCCAGCCCAGTCTTTGGCAAGGAACTCCTCAAACTCATGGTCTTCCACTAAGAGACCATAGTCTACTGGCTGCATTTTCTCTGACATTGAGACCCTCCACGCCCAGTACCTCCCAGATCAGTAGGAAAGCTGGAACACTCACTCTTCCTCAACAGAGCTGTCCCCATTGCTACTGCCACCATAGCAGACACTACCACAGAGCTAGCAACATTTAAACATATACTTCTACCTGGACCAGAAAGAAGGTGCTATGTTAATTTTAGGACTACCTTTAAGTCTTTGTAGGGTCAGTCAGGTGGTGCTGCTGGAGTCATCTAAATGCTGGCTGGGAGTCAGCTAAATGCTGGCTGATCTAGGCTAGTGCCATTGTAATCACTAGGCAATTCTGTTTCTGTTTTGTTTTTTCAAAGTTAGAACAGAAAACAGAGCACTGCTATACCACATAAACCCAGATTGACTATATAATTTCCCAATTGCCTAGATTAAAAAATTGTGAAAAACTTAAAATTAGTGTCTGAACAAATGTTTACAAGGAAGCTTCCCTACTCCAGCATTCTACTTTTAAACATCTTATTACCTCCTATGAGAGACACTGCCATAGTGTTTAGTGACTATTTGTTTAATGAATGATGAATAAATAAATGGATAAGTGAATGGATGCATCAATGAACAAATGAACTTGCACATACTTGGATCTGTTTCTTGTCTTTCCATCTGTCTCTCTAGTGGCATTCTCTATTTCCTGCATCTAAACGGCAGAAGCTGTGCCAACTAGAAATGTATAAATCTAAGAGGAACTATAAAGTACTCCCAAGAATGGAAGGATTCCACCCATGGGAAACTCTGCTTATCTAGAAAAACCTGAAGGGTAATTAAATGAGTGAATGTAAATGGATTTTGTTTAAAAACTGTAGGGCGGTATGCAAACATTAAGCACTACTAAAATCTTGACCAAATGATAAGTCTCTTCCATTTATTGTAGTGGGAAATCTTCAATTAGTCAAACTAGAAAATATGATTTTTAAATAGTCTTGAATCAAAGGATTAACGAGCCCCATGATTTTCTTTGAAAATCATCACAAGTCCCAATGTCTTGGTTTAGGGCTGTTCTCTAAAATAATTTTCTAAGAAAATGTGACAAGGTTCCACAAACATAATTATTGTCTTACACACCTTGTCCCTATGAATAGAGTCTTTGTAGAGCTGCAAATTACAAAATTAAAGAAAAACACACTCTGTGATGCTAGGTGGGAAATGTGGCTTTTCCCAAAGAAAATTTGCAAGGGAGAAAAAGCTGTGCAGCAGCCCACATTGTTTTCAAGATGCTTCCAAGGGAGGTAGAATGCTAAAGGAGAAATCCATAGGAAAAACATTAACATATTTTTAACTCAGTGGCTAGCTATTGATGTACTTCTCTAACAATTCAATCCAAAGCAAAGTATTCAACACAGGAAAATTAAGATGATTCATATCTGCTATTTGAAAATGTTATTTATTTATTTATTTCAGAGACAGGGTCTTGCTCTGTTGTCCAGGCTGGAGTGCAGTGGTGCGACTGCAGCTCACTGCAGCCTCAACTCCTGGGCTCAAGCAATCCTCCCACCCAGCCTAAGTAGCTGGGACCACAGGCATGCACAACCACACCCAGCTAATTTTAAAAAAATTTTTTGAGGGTTTTGCTTTGTTGCATAGGCTGGTCCCTAACTCCTGGGTTGAAGTGGTCCTCCTGCCTCAGCCTCCCAAAATGTTGGGATTACAGGTATGGGCCTCCATGCCCGGCCTGGAAATGCCTATTTTAACTGAAATGAGTTGTCCCTTCCACAGTCCTTCAGTCTAAAAGATCAAGAGCTGATTTATACACTGGATACTCATTTCAAACTAACACCCTTAAGCAAAGGAAAAAAATCCATTACAACTGCTCGGCTAACTCCTGAAAGCCACTGCTTACCTCCCGATCTGGTTTGTGTCCATAGACCATATCATGTCCCCACCCAAATCTCATCTCGAATTGCAATCCCCACATGCTGGGGGAAGGGCCTGGAGGGAGGTGATTGGATCATCCGGGTGGATTTCCCCTTGCTGTTCTCCATGATAGCGAGTGAATTCTCACAAGATCTGATGGTTTAAAAGTGCTTGGCACTCCCCACCTTGTTCTCTCTCTCCCCTGCTCTGCCATGGTGAGAAGGCCTTCTGCTATGATTGTAAGTTTCCTGAGACCCCCTAGTGATGCTTCTTGTTAAACAACTTTTCTTCAGAAATTACCCAATCTCTGGTAGTTCTTTTTTTTTTTTGAGACAGCATCTCGCTCTGTTGCCCAGGCTGGAGTGGAGTGGCACAATCTCGGCTCACTGCAACCTCTGCCTCCAGGTTCAAGTAATTCTCTGCCTTAACCTCCCAAGTAGCTGGGATCAGGTGCCTGCCACCATGCCTGGCTAATTTTTTATATTTTTAGTAGAGACAGTATTTTGCCATCTTAGCCAGGCTGGTCTTGAACTCCCAACTTTGTGATCCACCCACCTCAACCTTCCAAAGTGCTGGGATTACAGGCATGAGCCACTGTATCTGGCCCCGCAGGTAGTTCTTTATAGCAGTGTAAAAATGGACTAATTGACGTGGGAGATAATTTTACTTCAATTCCAGTGGTGTAAAACCTAGGTTAATGGCAAAGATAAACCTACCCCAGAAAGCAAACTTAAAAATGAATAGGGGACAGGTGCAGTGGCTCATGCCTGTAATCCCAGCACCTTGGGAGGCCAAGGAAAGAGGATCACTTGAGGCCAGGAGTTGGAGACCAGCTTGGGCAACATAGCAACACCCCAGTCTCTACCAAAAAAAAAAAAAAAAAGAATTAAGGAGAAAAAACTGGCCAGACATGGTGGCTCATGCTTGTAATCCTAGCACCATGAGAGGCCAAGGCAGGTGGATCACTTGAGGTCAGGAGTTTGGGACCAGCCTGGCCAACATGGTGAAACTCTGTCTCTACTGAAAACAAAATTTAGCTGGATCTGGTAGCATACACTATTTTTAGAAGAGATCGAAGAGGCTGAGGCAGGAGAATGGGAGTCAAAGTTTGCAGTGAGTTGCGATTCTGCTGCTGTACTCCAGACTGGGGAACAGAATGAGACTCTAACTCAAAAAAAAAAAAAAATGTCAGTGGGAAGAGTCTAAATAGGCTATTGTATTGCTATATCAGAGAATAAATTAGAATCCAAGGAGCAAACCCTCAGCATCAGACAGTACTTCCCAAACAGCCCATGTACTTCCCTACATTTCCCAGTCTCCCCTGCTTTGGAGCCACGTGACTAGTTCTAGCCAATGCATACTGAGAGGAAGCAATGTTGCCCCTTTTGAGTTGAGGCCATTAAAAACCCACTTGCCTCCTGCCGCTGTGATTCTAGGGGCCACCTGTTCCACATGGCTTAGCTGCAAGATGGAGGAGGGTTGCCTGATTTGCATCAGACTGTGTGTGACCAGTGAGTAAATACTGTGTTAAGCCACTGAAATTTCAGGGATTGCTGTGGCAGCTAGAGTTGTCCATTCTAAAAACTTCTTCCTTCATGTAAGCAAATCACACAATCTCAGCTTTTCTACAAATCCTGTCCTGACCAAGTAGAAGGTCAATATAAATTATTTTTGGGTGGGTAAAAGTCCACTTGCTGGGCACCTACTGCAGGTTGTACACACTACACACAATTTCTTGTGTAATCTGATGAAGCAGATTGTTATTACAGTCAGTTTTCATTCCGTATCAGCAGTAATTTCATGGAAACTGTGATTTTAAGCAAAACAACACACAGTGGGTCCTCAGATAAGGTCTTTTCCTTATAATGTTGATGAGGGAAAAAAACTGGTTTTGTTATACATCATTTCACTTGAAGCCACAGTTTCCAAAACCCTATTGATAATGTTAAGTGAGGACATACTGTATTTCTTTTTTATTTTGAGATGGAATCTCACTCTGCTGACCAGGCTGGAGTGCAATGGCATGATCTCAGCCCGCTGCAACCTCCGCCTCCCAGGTTCAAGCAATTCTTCTGTCTCAGCTTCCCAAGTAGCTGGGATTACAGCCGCCTGCCACCACACCTGGCTAATTTTTTTTTTTTTTTCCCCATAAAGACGGGGTTTCACCATGCTGGCCAGGCTGGTCTTGAACTCCCAACCTCAGATGACCCGCCAGCCTCGGCCTCCCAAAGTGCTGAGATTGCAGGCATGAGCCACTGCACCCGGCCCTGTATTCCCATTTTATAGGAAGAAAACAGGTTCCGGAAGTTTAAGAGACTTGCTGAAAGCCAATCAACATGTGGAACTGAACACTGACACATTTATTTTAAAGATACAATTTTATGCCTTTCAAATACATTGCTACTGGGATTAATAAAATATTAATCAAAGGGCCCTGAGGATTAGAGAGATATGTTGGAAAGCATTACTTCAATTGTTTTAAAGTAACTATATTTCAAAGGCACCTGAATAAAATTGGCTCTCATAACTTTGTTAGACATTGTTTAACTTTGTGAGAGCCAGTCCCCACCATCTGTATATGTTACTTAGTGTTTCACTAAGTTTGTTTTTAACAGAGGCAGGGCTGAAAGCAACAGTGTGGCTTTGTGTATCAGGTGAAGGATCAGTGAGGGCTGAACAAGGGGGATTATACTTTGCTTCCTATCCTATATTCTACAAATATCTGAGCAGTCTTGCCAACCACCTCTCTCTGCTTGGGTGGTGGAAACTGATGTCCGAATTTGGAAAGCCTTCCATAGGCAAAGGTGTGGGAGCCCTGTTTCTGGGCAGAAAAATTCATGAATCCTAAAGGCCACGGCTGCCTGATGGTTTTGCTTTAAATTCTACAACAAGTTGGCTCCCAGCTGGCTCTTCATTTTCTATTTCCATGGCATAAAATTCCCATGACTCCTTCTGATAGCACGCTCTCCTTGCTCCAAGGCTTACCAAAAGCAGAATGCCAAGTGCTAAGGCTCGTTTTTCCTGCGACAGCACTCATCAGCCGCATAGGGCCCGCCTGCTCTGCTGCCGGGCCAAGATTAGAGTCACTCTGAATACTGCAGTGCCTTCAATTGTAACAACAGAATGGGACTTAGAACTTAGAGCATTTCTTCCCAGAGAAACATGTCACCTTTGGCTTGCATACCAGATAACATGGGAGGTCCTGACGGTCTGAGTTACAGGCATAGGCACAACCTCACCACGGCAAATTCAGTTTGGAATAAAGCATATCTTTCCCTCAAAAAGCAGCTGCAGTTAACAAATGCCTCCAGTTAACCAAAGCCTCACTGTAAAAGGGAAAAGAGTGTTAGAGAGCCCCACTGGAAGGTAAACATTCAGATGCACATGACTTAGGATGTTGGCTATAGCGTTCCTTTTCAGCTACCTAGAGCCACTATCCAATACAGTAGCCACTGGCCACTTGCGGTTTCTGAGCAGATGAAACGTAGGGCTAGTCCAAACTGAGATGCACTGTAGGTGTAAAATCCACATCATATTTTGAAGGCTTAGTATAAAAAATACAATGGCCAGGAGCGGTGGCTCACACCTATAATCCCAGCATTGCACTTTGGGAGGCCGAGGTGGGCAGATCACCTCGGTGAGGAGTTTGAGACCAGCCTGGCCAACATGGCGAAACCTCATCTCTACTAAAAATACAAAAATTAGCAGGGCATGGTGGTGCATGCCTGTAGTCCTAGCTACTCAGGAGCCTGAGGCAGGAGAATTGCTTGAACCCAGGAAGGTGAGGTTGCAGTGAGCTGAGATTGTGCCACTACACTCCAGCCTGGGCGACAAAGAGAGACTCCATCTCAAAAAAAAACTCAAATAGCTCATTATTATTATTATTTTTTGAGACATTGTCTTGCTCTGTCACCCAGGCTGGAATGCAGTGATGCAATCTTGGCTTACTGTAACCTCTGCCTTCTGGGTTCAAGCCATTCTCCCACCTCAGTCTCCTGAGTAGCTGGGATTACAGGTACCCATCATTATACCTGCCTAATTTTTGTATTTTTGTAGAGATGGCGTTTCCCATGTTGGCCAGGATGGTTTTAATCTCCTGATCTCAGGTGATCTGCCTGCCTCAGCCTCTCAAAGTAATGAGATTATAGGCATAAGCCACCATGCCTGGCCTGTATTAAATGTTTTTATTAATCAATAAGTTAACTTCATCTGTTTCCAACTTGGTAAAAACGTGGCTGCTAAATATAGTTTCCGCTTGTATTGTCCTTCTGTTGAACAGTGCTGGCTGAGACCCTATGAATTCTACCAGCTCCTATGACCCACTCTGGTTCTCTCTCTCTCTTGGTCTAGGGAGCCAGCTTTGGGCTGAGGACCAGGCTCAGAGACCACAGAATGAATGAGGAGACTCTCTTGAGTCTGTCCCCTCTGGGGACAAGAGCAGGTATCTCTGGTGCTTGTGGGCCAATGCGGGCTTGCAGCCAAGCCCAGGGCTGCCTGATATCCTGAAGCCTCAGGCAAGGGGCTGAGATGACAATTTGGTTTCCTATAATGAAGAAACTCACAAAAGAAGAGGCAGAGTTGGCAAGAAGGGCTAGAGCTGGCAGATTTCCCCGCTGCAGAGAAGAGGTTTATCTTTGGCTCCAAGGACAGACCCCAACAGGGCCACTGTCATTCAATTTTACTGCTATTTGTCATTAAGATCATTATTATTATACTTACAAGAGCCAACTGCTTGGGGGAATGTCAGGATGTTACAAATGCCTGACTGTCTTGTACAAGTGAGATATGAATGAGCTTTCTTCCAGCCCGGGCACAGGACCAGGGCATGAAAGGGACCGGGGTAACTTCTTGTCTTGTACCAGGCCAAGGGCCTGAAGCAGCTGGATGGATGTCACTCCAAGGCCACTCGGCCTTCCACTCTCTACCAGGGCTTCACACCCAAATGCCTCCCAGAGAGGATAGGACTCTAGGAGCCTTATAACTTCTGAAAGCTCCAGCCTGGGAGAGCCTGAGGAAGACACGGGAAGGTTCCAGATGATATTGGCAATATTAAAAGTAGCTGTAACCAACATGACCACCATAGGCATGTCCCAGGAGCCAGGGTTTTCAGCTCCGAAGCTCATCTAATCCTTGTAAGGCCCATTGCAAAGACAAGGAAATAAGGCACAGAGAGGTAGAGTAGCTTGCCCAGCGTTACACAGCTTGCAAGCAGCAACGCGTGGATCAGAACCCTGGCCTTCGGCTTTGGCATCCATACTTCTGACCCTTTTTTTATACTGAAGGCCTCGATCCAGTGTGGTTCCCTAGACAGCTACAGTGGGTACTCGCCCAGTTTACATGACTCCTGCTGAAAAGGGGCCCAAATGCTCAACACGATCAAAGCAGTCAAGATGCCTCCTTCACTCAGGAACTCTTGGCTTGGAAGGCTTTTGCTTGAAGGACCCCATGGACCTATAATAAAGTATGCGTATGAACATTCACTCTCCGGTTCTTGGCTGCACTTGAACTGGGATTCTACTCTTCATCTTTGTTCCGTACCTACTCACCAAAGCCCTAGAGCCCACTCTTACATAAAAGGCCTGGCCACAAAAGCCTCTTCCCAAGCTGTCATTACAAAGTAACAGTGGCCTCTATGCATAAAACACACACGAGTCCTTTTACTGTCTCGGGGAAACAAAGAATGTCCTTTCCGTTTTTCAAAAATCAAAACCATTTTGATGGAAGAATTACAGTTGTTTTGAAAACCATCATACATTCCCAAGGATAGAACGCAGGACACAAGAGACACTCTTTACAGAATGGTCAAAAACACGTCTGACACATCCAGACAGCACCATTTGGAAGGAAAGAAGACAGGCCTGAAGGTGTTTTGGGTGTTCTGATCTGACAGCTGGGATCTTGAGTTTGATAACTGTTTTCTCCACTTGTTTCTGTGGGGCCCACAAGTCCTGAAACCTTTGTCATGTTCTACTGAGACTGTCTGCCCCAACTCAACCCAGACTTCCCCTGGTTGGGGCTGGGCAATCCACCTCTGTACCAGCACCAGAACCTCAGGCATGGGGCAGACACAAGGTGGTGCTGGAGAACAAAGGGATCTGATCCGAGACCACTCCACAGACACTGCCTGTCTCTAAAGTGCAAAAGCAAAAGGGCTGTTAGAATTGCTGGATTGCTAAGTCTGGAGCGGTGATTTAGAAAAGTGTTTTCAGGCCAGGAGTGGTGGTTCATGCCTGTCATCCCAGCATTTTGAGAGGCCGAGGCAACAGAATCACTTGAGGTTAGGAGTTCGAGACCAGCCTGACCAACATGGTAAAACTCTGTCTCTACTAAAAGTACAAAAATCAACTGGACATGGTGGCACATGCCTGTGATCCCAGCTGCTTGGGAGGCTCAAGCAGGAGAATCACTTGAACCCAGGAGGTGGAAGTTGCTGTGAGCTGAGATGGCACCACTGCACTCCAGCCTGGGCAACAAAGTAAGACTCTGTCTAAAAACAATAAAAAAGGTGTTTTCAAGGTTCTGAAGAAGATCATGAGGCTCATAGTGTCACAGCGGCTTGCTGAGGTCATGGGACTAGTTAGCAGCACCATCAGGAAGAGAGAGGCCTCAGGTCTCCTGACTGTGTCCGCTTTCTAAAGCATCAGAACTGAGACTGGAGTGTGATAAGCAGAAAGCCCCACAGCAGGGGAGAAGTGAGATACCCCAACTCTCAGTTGAGACACTTCCTAATCAAACTCCTTTCCAATGGAATAGCCAAGCTCAGAATACAAGCGGGAAGCATAATGTGGTGAGAGAGCTCCGAACCCATCTGCTGGAGGCCAGGAGTATGTGACTTTGGGCAAACTGGTTAGCCTCTCTGAGCTTCCATGTCCTCAGCTGTGATCTTAGAATTTCAGCACCCACCTGGCAAGTGGGTGGTGGGGATTAAATGGCATTATGTGTATTAAAATGTGCTTATAGCAGGTGAGTTGAATATACATAACTCCATACTGCCTAACATCAGAAATAAGAACTGGCACATCCAAACAGCACCATTTGGAAATAAGTGAAATAAGCAGGTGGGTGAAAATTATTCAAGGCAGTAAACTAAACTTGACTCAGAGGGGGACAGAGAAAACATTTTGGTATGACAGGTAACACTAAAAATATATATTAAACACTCTAAAATGATTGTTGGCACCTGGAATTTCCTAAGCGACAATAAACCTTCCATTCATTCTTTCAGCAAATATTAACCTACTGTGTATCAGACATAGCAAATCAGAAGCCAGTCAGGTACAGAAGTGAATCAAACAGATTTTAAAAAACCTCCCCTTGGGCAGTGAAATTGATTTTTACTGGAGCAGCAAAATTTTAGGCTTCTTTCTCATGATATTAGAACCCTCCGCCCTCTCCTTTGCTCATTCCCACTGACTATGGCTGACTGTATATTTCTGTGGGTTGAGCACTCTGCTAGGTATCACAGATTACTAATGTAACAGGGAAAACAGACAAATACGCTAAGATACGATATCCAAGATCAAGGATCTTACTATATCACATGGGAAATGACTGTAATATTTGAAATCCTTGGGCAAAATGCATTATATAAAAATAAAGAAAATGGCCAGGCACAGTGGCTTACGTTTGTAATCCCAGCACTTTGGGAGGCAGAGGTGGGCAAATTACTTGAGTTCAGAAGTTCAAGACCAGCCTGGCCAACATGGTGAAACCCCTTCTCTACAAAAATGCAAAAATTACCTGGGCGAAGTGATGCATGCCTGTAATTCCAGCTGCTCAGGAGGTTGAGGCATGAGAATTGCTCAGGAGGTTGAAGCACGAGAACCCAGGAGGTGGAAGTTGCAATGAGCCAACATCGCACCACTGCACTCCAGCCTGGGCGACAGAGTGAGACTCCATCTCGACAACCACCACCACCAAATAAATTAAATAAAGAAAATTGCCACGAGATTAAAAACAGAGTCTAGAGTCCAAACTAAGTATATTCTACTTAGACAAAAATTGTGGCTCTATGTAGAATTAGAGAAAACAGAAAATGACTTCTCTAATGGTAATTATACCAATGAAAGTGCTTTATAATCTATTCATAGTAGCCACCTTTTACTTCCCTGTAAGAATGGGAAGCAAACAGCAGAACAGCCTAAGTACTCCTCACATAAAAGGCCAGAAAAAGATGAAATGGTACAAGGCAGCGTTTGCAATTGTTTACACTGGCTTCAAACTGCAGTAAATTCCTTTTGTACATGTTGGATCGATTTGCTAATATTTTGTTGAGGACTTTTGCATCTATGTTCACGAGAGGTATCAGTCTGTAGTTTTCTATGCTGGTATTTGTTTATCATCCTTCTAATGTCCATGGGATCTATGGTGATGTTCTCTCTTTCATTTCAGATATTAGTAACTTGTGCTCTTTTTTTAAATTTGACTTGAGACTTATCAATTTTATTGATGTTTTCAAAGAGCTTGCTTTTGGATTTGTTGATTTTCCCTGTTTTTTATTTTCTGTTTCATTGGTTTCTGTTCTAATTTTTCTTTTCTTTTGCTGACTGTGGATTTAATTTGCTCTTGTTTCTCTAGCTTCCTAAGATGGAAGCTTGGGGGATTGATTTTAGATCTTTATTTTCTAATATATGCATTTAATACTATAAATTTCTTAAGCACTGCTTTCATTGCACCCTACAACAACTGATAAGCTGTATCTGAATTTTCGTTTACTTAAAAATATTTTTAAATTTATCTTTAGATTTCTTTGACCCACATTATTTAGAAGTGTTCTTTAATCTTCAAGTATTTTGGAATTTTCTAGCTATCTTTCTGTTATTGATTTTTAGTTTAGGTCTATTGTGGTTTGAGAGAAGACACTGCATGGTTTCTATCATTTTCAGTTTGTTAAGGTGTGGTTTATGGCACAGAATGTAGTCTATATTAGTGAATGCTCTATGTGAGCTTGTGAAGAATGGATGTTCATTCTGCTGTTGTGGATAAAGTAGTCTGCAGGACAGTACTGCTGAGTTCAACTCTGTCCCGACTGATTCATCTACTTGTACCTGCAGCATTTGGCCACATGTATTTCAATGCTCTGCTGTTAGGTGCACCCAGTAACAACTGCTAAGCTTTCTTGGAGACTGATCCCTTTATCATTATGTAATGCCTTTCTTTATCCATGATAACTTTCCTTGCCCTGAGGTCTGCTCTATCTGCAATTAATATAGTGATTCCTACCTTCTTTTGATTAGTATTAGCATGGTATATCTTCTATACCCATTTACTTTTAATCTATACATGTCTATACTTAGAGTAGATTTCTTGTATAGAGTTAAGTCTTACTTTTGATCTAGTCTGGCAATCTTTTAATTGCTGCATTTAGACCATTGATTTTGAACGCGATTTGTGATATAACTGGATTAACTGCTCCCATATTTGTTAGTGTTTTCTATTTGCTGTCCTTGTCCACTGGGTTTTATTTCCCATTCTTTTCCTGCCTCTTGTGGGTTTAGCTGAGCATTTTATATGATTCCATTGTTTCTTTTCTTATCAGCTACTGCCTTTTTTCATTTTCTTAGTGGTTGCCCTAGAATATGTAATATATATTTACAATGAACCCAAGTCTACTTTAAAATAACACTGTAACATTTCATGCACAGTGAAAGTAGCTTATAATAACAAAATAATCCTAATTCTTCCCTCTTCTCCTTCTGTCACTCCTCTCATTCATTTCACTTATAGGTAGGACACACACACACTAGAATACGTTGTTGCTATTATTTTGAAAAAACTCATGTTACATCAAGAATACTGAAAATAAAAGTACTTTAATTTATTCCTGCTCTGATGCTCTTCCTTGTTTGTTAGTTTTTATTTCATAAATGTACCTCTGCGATCCAGCTAGGTATGGAAGGGAATAAGGAAAATATGGAACCCAAAGGCCTGCATCGAGAGCACCAAGACTAGAGGACCCTGAGAGTGAATGGGGTAGAGGGTGCTCTCCTGAGCTACAGAAGGAATGGTCTGGTGGTTAAGACAGATATCGGTCAAATTTATTAGAGTTGTCCACAGTCAGCAATGATAATTTTCTCACTGGTCTTGCCAATCTTGGACCCACCGTGCTCCATGGCCTCCCTGGTACTCTCTTCACTGTGCCAATGACCACATGCATGCCATTCTGCCTCTCAACCACTCAGTCTTGGCAGTGCAGATGAGAAACTGGGAATCATTTGCATTGGGTCTAACATTTGCCATGGACAAGGTGCCAGGACCCATATGCTTCAGGATGAAGTGCTCGCCATCACATTTCTTCCCATAGATCAAATTTCTTTCTTGACACCAGGACTATTATAATGTGTGAGGTGATCACTCTGCTACATAAACCCTGGAATAATTCTGTGAAAGCAAAGAGCCCTTGGAACCAAATCATTTCTCTCCAGTGCTCAGAGCACAAAAGTTTTCTGCTGCTTTTGGAATGCAGTCTGCAAACAGCTTGAAAGAGATACAGCCTCAGGCTCAAGGACAGAGCAGGGCTGGCCACAGCGGGCGCAGCGGGCAATGGGTGGCGGCGGCATCTGCGAAGCCTGCCCTTTCTTGCTCCATGTAGATCCAGGTTTCTGACTTATATGACTTTCCTTCTCTCTAAAGAACTTCTTGTAACATTTCTTGCCGGACAGGTCTGCTGGCAACACATTTCCTTTGTTTTTGTCTGAGAAGGTATTTCTCCTTCACTTTTGAAGGACAATTTTGCAGGGTACACAAGCCTAGGCTGGTTTTTTCTTCTCTCTCTCCCAAAACTTTAAATATTTCACTCTACTATCTTTCCCCTTCTATAGGCAAGGTGTTTTTTCCCCCTGGTCTGGGCTTCCCTCAAAATTCTTTGGTTTTCTGCAGTTTGAATACGACATGCCTAGATTTTGTTTTGTTTTGTTTGAGCATTTGTCCTACTTTGTGTTACTGGAGCTTCCTGGATCTGTGATTTGGTGTCCGACATTAATTCAGGGGACGTTCTCTGTTATGACTGCTGCAAACATTCCTTCTTTCTCTCCCCCTTCTCCTTCTGGTGTTCCCAGGGCATATGTTGTATCTGGTGTAGCTGAGCCACAGTTCTTGCATAGTCTGTTCCATGTTTTCTTTTTCAGTCTTTGCTTTTCCATTTTGGAAACTTCTAGGGTCATATCCTCAAGCTCAGCGATTCTGTCCTCAGCTGTGTCCAGACTACCGAGGAGCCCATCAAAGGCATTCTTCACTTCTGCCCCAGTACTTCCGATCTCTACCATCTCTTTTTCTTGGAATTTCTCTCTGATTACACTACCCATCTGTTCTTACATGCTGTCTGCTTTCTTCCATTAAAGCCCTTAGCAAATTAATCATAGTTTAAAAAAATTCCTGGTTATGGCAAGGTGTGGTGGCTCAACCTGTAATCCCAGTACTTCGGGAGCCTGAGCCAGGTGAATCACTTGAAGTCAGGAGCTCAAGACCAGCCTGGCCCACATGGTGAAACCCTGTCTCTACTAAAAATACAAAGAAAAATTAGCTGGGCATGGTGGCTCATGCCTGTAATCCCAGCTACTCAGGAGGCTGAGGCAGGAGACTTGCTTGAACCCAGGAGGTGGAGGTTGCAGTGAGCCGAGATTGTGCCACTGGACTCCAGCCTGGGTGACAGAACAAGACTCCATCCAAAATGATAAATAAATTCTTGGATATTCCAATATCCTTGCCACATCTGAGTCTGTGTCTGTTGCTTGTTTCATCTCTTCACACTGCTTTTCTGCCGTTTAGTGTGCTGTCATTGTTCTCTTGGTGGCCGGACGTGGCACACGGGTGAGAGAATCTGTGGTACATGAGCCTTTAGTGATGTGGTGATGAGGCGTGGAGAGGGGAAGTGTTGTATGGGGTGATGATGAGGTCTCTGTCTTGTGGGGAGCCTGTGCCTGTGGCTTGTGACCTTCACAAATGCTTCTCGTTCTCCCTCCTCCTTCTCTTAGGTGGGAGAGGATGGCTGGAAGGGACTGAAATAGGGTATATCCCTTCTTCTAGGTAGAGTGTCTCCTGAGGGATGCCCTTGTTAAGAAGAATGGGATGCTCTGGCATATTTCACAATGCTTATTACTTTTCTCCTCTCCCTGCCAGAAGCATGAGGCAGTTTTTCTTCAGAATTTACTGTGAGGACCTAGTAGAGCTTCTTGAGGGAAAACTCAAAAAAGCGTGGGGTCCTCATGATGGATTCTCACACTTGTCCACACTTGGCCTCCAGCAATTTGCCAATTATGGATCAGGGTTTTGCACCCTGTGCAAATTTCTGTATCTGCCTATCTGTCTTTCTAATTTTGGAGACAGTGGCTTGGCCTGTTACCTCACTTTTCTGAAGACTCTAGGGAGGTGAGAATTCTACCACTGAGCCATCATGCTGGTGCACTGGCCAGGAAATGAACCCTGGTCTCCCATGTGGGAGGCACCAATGGCTCTAGGAAAACTTGTTGATTTTTCAGTCTAGCTTTTCACTTGTTAGGATGGAATGATGACGTCTAAGCTCCTCACATGCTGGACTGGAAACCACGAGTCTGTACTTTTTCTTTGCAGAAAAGAATTGTACAATATTAGCCTGCAAGTTACCTGGAAACAATTCAAGGCTGGGCAAGACAGCCCTGGGTGCTCAGCCAACACAAAGAATTGGAAAGGTGTTTGACAAAAAGAACCATCTTCAGTCAGATAAGCCATAAGAAAAGACAAACACTTCACAGTGGTATCTTGCCGGCAAATAATGTCAGGCCGTGGGGTTCAGCGGTCTCCTAGGCTTTGGGCCAGGAAGCCAGGAGTGTGAAGTGGCCCCAGGACACCTGAATCATGTGTGATGAGGCAGTTATTAGGGAGGTGTGACTGCACTAACCTTCTGAAGGAGCCATAAATAAAATTCTGAATAAAGTACTGGGCTTTTGATCTGGCAGAAAGGCATTCCCCCCACTGCAACCCCATGCAGCGCTTCTGCAAGTCTGGAATGTGTACCGGGACCGTGGGGTGTGAGTTTCTGTGATCCTCAGAGGAGGCAATGACAGTACTGGGTCGTGTGGTGAGAAAGCAGCACCGTTTCAAGTCTTCATGGAATGCTTCCAAGTAAGCTCCAGATTGGGATCAATCTCTTTTTAGCTCTTCTGTAGAGCTAGCTGATCCTGGCAGAAGCCGAGAAGGTGACAGTAGAACCACTGGGGCTAGAAAAACACCATCTAATTGATTTGGGTCACCTGACCTCTCCAGCACAATGCCCAACTAACTTCTGTAATTTCTTGTTACGTCAATCAAAGAAATCAGACACCTCTATTTCTTTGATTGACGTAACAGATCCTCTCTTTTCCAAGTCTGAAGTTCTCAGGAAGCTCCTTAATGGTGAGCTGCACTGAGAATGTAATACTGACTATAAATCAAATGTGAATCAAAGCCTCCCCTGAGCACAGTCTTTAAGCCAGCACTGTGCTAGGTGGTACCCTCCTTTACCCCTGGAGACGTCGAGGCATAGCAAGCTCAAGTGAGGTGACCACAGTCACACACACAGTGGAGAGGTGGCAGATGGGGCCGGGACTCAACCGGTTCTTGCTTTCCCGCTGCTCATGGTGCCCGCTCTGTGTAAGCAGGAGCTGGGAATGGGGCAAAGACATCTGAGATATTCCCCCTGCCCTCTGGGGCCTTTATTTATTTCTCCTTCCTGTTTTGCTTGATAGGAGTGAAAATGATGTTGATTGTATGAATACATACACTTACATATATATATGAAAAAATATATGAATATATACAATATGCCTTGCTTTATAACATAATATACTTGGCCCTAACCCACAACTTCCTATTGATGTAGGATGAGGCCATCTCTAACATGTGGGGTGAGGAAGTCGGGACAAGAATAACTAAGACTCATATACTTTTTATCTAAATATGAGTATTACAAATCAAGCTAACAGACTGTTAAAAATACAGTATGCTGTCTCTTGCCCCTTGACACATGTACCTTCCTGTAGGTTGGCTTGAGCTGCCCCTATAAGACAGCACACAGACTGGGTGGCTTAAACAACAGAACTTTCTCTTGGGTCTGGAGGCTGGAAATCCAGGATTAAGGTGCTGGCAGGTGGGCTTCTGGTGAGGCCTTGCTGGGTGCCGTGCAGGCTGCCTCCCTCTCACTGTGTCCTGACGTGGCTTTTGTTTCATGTGTGCACACTCCTGTGGCCTCTTCCTCTCCTCATAAGAACACCACTCCTAGCAGATCAGGGCCCCACCTTCATGAGTTCACTCTCCCCTCATTACCTCCTTCCAGGCCTTATCTCTACAGAACAGTCACACTGGGAGTTAGGGCATCAGCACATGGATTTCTGGGGGGTGGGGGAGGGTAAGGGGGGGATGCAGTTTAGGCCTTAACATTTCCCAAGACCTGGAAAGCCAAGTTTGACTTAAGAATTCATGGACCCAGGCCAGGCAAAGTGGCTCATACTTGTAATCCCAGCAGTTTGGGAGGCTGAGGCGGGCGGATCACTCCTGAGGTGGCTGAGGTCAGGAGTTCGGGACTAGCCTGACCAATATGGTAAAACCCTGTCTCTACTAAAAATACAAAAATTAGCTGGGTGTGGTGGCGTGCACCTGTAATCCCAGCTACTCGGGAGGCTGAGGCAGAATTGTTTGAACCCGGGAGGCAGAGGTTGCAGTGGGCCGAGATCACGTCACTACACTCTATCCTGGGCAACAGAGTGAGACTCTGTCTCAAAAAAAAAAAAAAAAAAAGAATTCATGGACCCCTGAGATTCCACTCCAGTATGTGGAGGCCTAAGGATATAACACTGACATGGCTCACCCCTCTTCTCTTCCCAGGTCCTCGCCATCATGGCACCCCAACCTGCAGGTCTAAGCTACATCCCACTGCCCCCTGCAAATAGCCGCCCACTGACTTCTCCACCGGGTGCAGGAGTGCATATGCCAGCAGGGTGGTGTTCACAGGAAGGACGGATCTTGGGAAGATGCCCTGGAAGGGAATTCCAGGTTCTGAGTACCCAGGTTTTTGTCTAAAAGGGGTCAGAATGCAGAATCTGAGTGGGCATTCGCTCTGTAGACTCGAACCCTATAAGGAGAGCCCAGAATGGGGACTGGGGGGGGGGCAAAGGAGAGCCCAAAAAGGCAGGGCTTCACAAACTGTAGCCTGTGGGCCAAATCCCGTCTTTGTACAGCCTGCGAGCTAAGCATGCTTTTTACATTTTTAAGTGTAAAATGAAAATCATAAGAAAGAATATATTCGCCTTTTGGCAAGAACAGTTGCTCAATTTTGCCTCTTGGCAAAAAGCTAAAATTTAGATTTAGGAAAAGCCTATTTTCTGTCTAGTCCCTGGCAGGGAAAGTTTGCTCATCTCTGCTCTACAACACAGGACAGGAGAGGGACCCTCTGCCTGGTCCTCACTGTCCTTGACCTACAGAATGTGGTAGAGTAACACAGGTAAGTTCCAGGTATAGATGTAAGCAGCCCGTGGCTTCTGTTTTTTTGCCCATTTAATAGCCAGCACCACGTCAAGAAGCTCAGTGACAAGTGGCTGCATGGACGGAAGGACCAGGTAGAGGAGAACCCGTGTGGCCTTGGCCAACAGCTGGAAGGTACCTTAGGTCCTCCAGCCCCAGCAGAGCCCTGGTAGGGATGGCCCTGCGGCAGCAAGGAGTCTGTCCACCTGCCAGGTCCTGATGGAGGCCCCGACTCCAAGAATCACAGCATTAACTTTACTTATTTATTTGGTGACAGAGTTTCCCTGTTGCCTAGGCTGGAGAGCAGTGGCGTGATCTCAACTCACCTCAGCCTCTGCCTTCCAGGTTCAAGTGACTCTCGTGCTTCAGCCTCCTGAGTAGCTGGGACTACAGGTGCCTGCCACAACACCCAGCTAACTTTTGTATTTTTAGTAGAGATAGGGTTTTGCCATGTTGGCCAGGCTGGCCTCGAACTCCTGGCCTCAAGTGATGCTCCTGCCTTGGCCTCCCAAAGTGCTGAGATTACAGGCATGAGCCACCACACCTGGCCCAACATGATTATTGTTGTAAGCCATTATGTTCTGGGGTGATTACGTATCAATAAATGCTTCAAACAATGGCCAAATCATGGACAAGGCTTTCTGGAGTGCTCCCTCTAAGTCATCATGGCCAGACTCACTGAGCCCTCACAGGTGGGCTTTGAGGAAGATGCTATGATTATATCTTCTTATACAGATGTCACCCTAAGTTCTTAAAATAGCAGAACTGTAGCCAGAGTTTATAACACGGTTTGGATCTGTGTCCCCGCCTACATTTGATGTTGAAATATAATCCCTAGTGCTGGAGGGGGGCCCGGTGGCAGGTGACTGGAGCATGGGAGCAGTTTCTCATGAATGGTTTAGCACTGTCTCCCAGTGCTAATCTCGTGACAGAGTTCTCACGAGATCTGGTTGTTTGGAAGTGTGTAGCACCCCGCTTCTGTCCCTCTTGCCCTTACTCTGGCTCTGGAAGATGTGCCTGCTTCCCCTTTGCCTTCCTCCGTGATTGTGAGTTTCCTGAGGCCTCCCCAGCCATGCTTCCTGTACAGCCTGCAGAACTGTGAACCAATTCAACACCTTTTCTTTTTAAATTACCCAGTCTCAGGTATTTCTGTACCGCAATGCAAGAAGGAACTAACACAGTTTATCATACAATGAGGAAGAAGAAGCCACCAGAAATCCAACAGGAAGTCTTCCCTTCAGGGGTAGATATTAAGACCATGTTAGGCTGAAACACAGCAGAACGGAACCAATCCAGAGTCAAATGCATTGTTGCTGGCCTTGCAGCCTCTCTCCAAGTGGTTCCCAGGCTCAATCAGCAGCAGCCCTCGTCCCTGGTCTCCCCTCTGAGGGTGGCAGGGGGGTAGCAGGTGCTGGAGAGGAGCTGGGCAGGAGTCCCAGCTCGGGACCCACCTGTGGGACCCTGCCCATCTCAGGCCTCCTCTGGGCTCAGCAGAAGAGCTGTGCAAAATGTTAATTGTGCATCAGAACAAAATAACTGCTTGTACAGTAAAGGAACACAGTGTGAGTTAGGAATAACTGTTGTGTCTGTAGGAGCTTTATTAGCTGGATTAAAAGACTTTCCAGAGCCAGGAAGTCTCAGTCTAGTGGATCTCTACAGACGGGTTTTGGAGACAGGGCAGTAAGTGATACACTGAGATGGCAACTGGTTGCACATGGCATCGGAGTGCCAGCCTGTGCTCTGAGGCTGGCGGGCCAGCATTCTGCCCCTGCCATGTGCCATCTGCGAAGGTCCCTTCTCCTCTCCAAGTCTCCTTTACCATGTTTGTAAAGCCTGAATACTACTACTTACCTCAGATGACTACTGTAAGAATTAAATGTGATAACAGGCCTAAGTGCATGGTGCAGAGCAAGAAATGAACAAATGTTAGTCATCTCTCACGATACCCACCTTCATCCTGCTCATCGCCTGGGCAACGTTACAAAGAAAGGGGTGAAGTAAAGCTCAGAAATCTGACCCACTTTTACAGAATTTAAACAAATCCCTAAATAAAGGGCCAATCAGTGCCTGCTGCCAAATCTCAGGAGTGAAGTCTAACAAGCATCATCCGGGCCCTGAAAACTGGTAACGGGCTTGTGAGAGCAGCTCACTGGCGCACGTGGAGTGACATGTTCTCTGGGTAGCATCGGAACCGATATCCGCAGGCCTTTCCTCCCAGGGTAACAGTCACCGCAGGGAAAAGCTGCTCAGCCCTGTGTTCAAAGCCCTTGAACTGGGAAGGTGGGGAAAATGAACAAATCTCTGTCCCTCAGTTTCACCAACTAGTAATTAGAACTGACTTAGAATTAAACAAAAACAAGTGCTCAGCCCCGGTCTAGGATGTAGCAGCATTCGCGAAGCAGCAGCAAATCCACCAGGAGCTGGTTATTTCTGGAGGAAGAATTGGAAGTCGGGGTGCTCAGAAGAAAGGAGGGGCCACATTTGTTTCACAGACCACAATATTACAGAAGGTACCCAGTGCTCCAGAGAAGAGGCTAAACTGATTAAACTCCAAGGCCAGGAGAATTATGAGACAGTTAAACAGCTACAGGCAGACAATGCAATATATGAGACAATAAAACCAACATAATTCCTAAAAAAGACCTGAGAATTGCACAACTTGAAGACCCCGAAGGAAAGCCTGGCTTTGGCTCTTTAAATATTTCTTTGAGGGAGAGCAGCATCTTCATTTTCTCTTATAACACTGGAGTCATTGGACCATGACCTTCCATAGAGAGAAATTAGCCTTCGATAGAAAGAAAGCTGTCCTTTGGTTTATCATTCTCTTTCTTTCATCAAGTGCTTTTCTTGGCTCCCACCTGTGCTGGGCTGGTGTGGGGCCTGTGGTTCAGAAGCAGCTGATTGCACAGGAGCCATTGTTGGTGCTGACTGGCTTTTCTCTCTCTCTGTATCTCACTCTCCCTCTTTCTTCTAGGTGGCAAATGCTAATTTACTGCCTGACTACCCAGCTGTGTGTATACCACGAGTTATTTTCTCTTTGAATTTTTAGATATGCTTATTATTTTCTATCCCTCTCTACAATCCTTTCCCCAGAGGCCAGGAGAAGTCTCTGGGGGCAGCTGGACCTGGGTTGATATCCCGTTGACCTTCAGACACTCAGGTCTCCCAACCTGCTGGCTCTCTTCAGCCGATGACATGAAGGGGTGTGGCCCTTCTGTGCCCTGTGTCATCCACCATGAGCCCCACACCTGTGATGGCCTTAGAAATCACCCTTCCAATCACCTTGCCAAAGAGCTCCACCCCTCTCAGTCTCCAGGGTTTCATTTCTGTCCTCCTGCGGTGTCCCCATGGCAGATTCCTAGGTGGCCACATCTAGGAGTGCAGCATGCAGGCACTCATGCCAAGTACACACTGAGTGGTAGGCACTGCTCCACACCCTGGTGTGGGGGAACAGCAGCCAACACCAGATGAAATCCTGCCCTTGGTGGAGCCTGGTGGGATAGACTGAAGAATCCATCCAGGAGTACATCCTTGTCCCTCCAAGGGGAACAAGTGCCATAAAAAACAGCAGAGACAGGGTCAGTGGTGCTCGGTGGGACTAGAGGTTTGCAGGTTTAAATAGGGTCACCAGGGCAGGGGGCCTCCCCAGGGTGATCTCTGAGCTGATACCTGGGGTGGGACAGGCTGGGTGGAGGGCTGAGAATAGTCACGGCCTGAGGATGGAGAGGTCTGGTAAACTGGAGAGTGGAAAGGGAGCTAGTGCAGCAGGTTAGCGAGATCAGGAAGGGTGGAGGGCAGGGAGGGAATGGGGGGCCCAGGTGCTAAAGGATCCTGGGGCTCTTGTGAAGGCTTTAGTTTCTTCAAGGTGCCTAATTCAGAGCCCTGTGCACAGGGCCTGCACCCCCAACTCCCATTCATTCCTCCCCCTGCCCCCCAGATCTTACTGTCAGTCTCTATACTCTTTGGGACCCTAGCCCCTCAATTATGCTCTGACAGATCCTTGACTCCCTTTCCGCCTCACTCACTGGTTCCCAGTACCTTCAGGGGCACTTCCAGGAGGCTCAGCTGTTCCGGGAGGACACCCCCAGCCGGGAGCACTCCTTGTTCTCCCCACACCAGGCCTGCTGAGTCTTGCTGGAGAGTTACCACCGATGCACGCCCTGCCCCACGCTTTCCCAGCTCTGGGGTCTCTGCTCTCTCATCGCACTGTGGACCTTCTCCCAAACCAATCCCCACCTGCAGGGCTGCAGCCGCCCTTCCTGGTGTTACCTTCTGAAGATGTAGACCAGCCAGGGAGGGTATTTCAGGCTTTCCTGCCACCGTGAGGTCTACTGTGCCCCTCACCTTCCTCCTGAAGCTGAGGGGGAAAGGGCATCCTTGCTACTCATAGCCCATTCCTTCTCTCTCCCTCCCCGCCCTCCCCCCCCAACCCTCCAGCATTTTCCCGTTGGCTTAGAAACAGACTCAAGTTTCTGCAACATAAATGATGCTTCCTTCAGTCTGCCTTCCTGGGAGTGACTGACCACTTTCTTTCCTTCCATTTACCATAGATGTCCTCAAACAGAGGGTCCTCCTGCTGAGCTGCTGACGCTCACGCTCACCCCATGCCGTTGTCACTATTGACACTGCTCTCTCAGGGATCAGCTCCCTGTGGCTAGATCTTCTCCCCACCCCACCCCTGTTGCAGGACCTCCTCGGTCCCTGGCCACCCTGACTTCATGAACACTTGCCTCCCCGGGGTCCAAGAATGAGACAAGGCTGTCTAGTGCTTGCACCTGTCTGGACATTCCTTAGTCTTTTTTCCTTCCATCTTTAATATCCGCCCCCACCCCCAAATATTAATAGGACTTGTGACCTCAAGAAGAGAGGTCACAGTCGAGAGCCCATTGGCTGAATTTCACCTGTATACATGTGTTAAATATACGTTGGGGCCAACTTGAAACAGTTGGGTGTATTTTACAGAAAAATGCAGGTATCTGGCTGCTGTCACAGGCTTCCCTAGGCTGGCATTCTTGTAGGGATGGAACACAGAAGCTGTGACCCCAGGATGGCTCTCCAGCTCTCTGGATCTGTGTAGCCCCCAATCCTCCCAGGAGTGTGCCCATCTGCTGATGGGCAGCTGGATGCAGGGCAGGCAACCATGTCTGCAGCTTCTGCCCTGGAAAATTCAGCCATGTTGGAGGCACCATCTGTTACTGCTGAGAATACTGCCCTGTCCACCTCTCGAAATCCACAGCCCTCCTGGGTTGCAGTCGCTGATTTCCAACTGCCTCCAGCCCCAGCTCTCCTCGGGCTCCTCTTTCTGGCCAGCACCCCCAGGCCTGGAACAGCACCTGGCACTTGGGGGACACCCTGAACATGCCGAGATTGATGCCCATGTGTGGGGGAGGAGCTTGTGTGTGGCTGGATCACCTTTGGTTTCTAAGGGACTCCCTTGGGGTCAACAGCAGAAAGCAATTATGCACCACCGACTGCCTCTCTGATCATGACTCAGGCCCCTGATTCGAGCTGAGATGAGTTAGTGGCCAAGAAAATGGCCCAGACTGAGGGCTCCCTTTCACCTGCTTGTGCTCCCATCTCTCTGGAGACAGTGCCACTGGTAAAAAGAATGTGTGGGCTCAGGGGTCAGAATGTCTTGGATCCGAATCTCACCTTTGCCTTTTGCAAGGCAAGTCACTGAATCTTCTGCTCATGCATAAAATGTGGCAAGTCAGAATTGCTTGGGGCGGGGGTGGGAAGTAGTGCAGAGCAGACAGTCAGTGCATCACGGGTAATGTCCTTAGTGCGCGGTCTAACGTAGTCCCCGCCATAGCAATGCTGTGAGGAAGACTCTACATGGCACATTTGAAAAAGCTTCACTTCAGGGCCAGGCACAGTGGCTCAGGTCTGTAATTCTAGCACTATGGAGAACCAAGGCAGGAGGATTGCCTGAGCCCAAAAGTTTGAGACCAGCCTGAGCAACATAGCGAGACCCCTGTCTCTACAAAAAAATTTAAAAATTAGCAGGCGTGGCGGCACATGCTTGTAGTCCCAGTTCCTCGGGCCCAGGAGACTGAGACTGCTGAGAGCTATGATTTCCACTGTGCTCCAGCCTGCATGACAGAATGAAACTTGGTCTTTAAAAAATTAAAATTAGGCTGGACGCAGTGGCTCATGCCTATAATCCCAGCACTTTGGGAGGCCGAGGCGTGTGGATCACGAGGTCAAGAGATCGAGACCATCCTGGTCAACAAGGTGAAACCCCGTCTCTACTAAAAATACAAAAATTAGCTGGGCACGGTGGTGCACGCCTATAGTCCCAGCTACTCGGGAGGCTGAGGCAGGAGAATTGCTTGAACCCAGAAGGTGGAGGTTGTGGTGAGCCGAGATCATGCCATTGCACTCCAGTCTGGGTAATAACAGCGAAAGTCTGTCTCAAAAAAAAAAAAATTAAAATTAATAGAACAAAATTATATAAAATAAATAAAATAAAAAGCTTTGCTCCCACTGCAGCAGGGGGTTCTCGGGACACAGGCCAGAAGCAGACACTCTTCCTGCCACTGCTCTTTCTTCCAGGAGAGTGTGCAATGCTCATGCCTGGAGTCTGATTCTTGCCTGCTGGGAGCTACTTGACTTGTGCTGGGATCTCACACGCCCAAAATACTCACTTTCAGAGACAGATTAAATCCAAATGAAGCCTTTGCTTGGCCTGCCCAAGGACTCTCACTGACCCCAAAGAATTCTTTCTATGTCAAAGCAAAGAGGACCCTGTGTCAGCTTTCGGAATTATTCTCTGACGAGTGCCCCTGCTGTGGGTGTGCATTTCAACTTCAAACTCTCAGCCGTTAGTGATATTCTCCGCCTCAGCTTGGCTTTGCTGGCTAAGGAGATGCTACAGTATTAATCGATTTCAAGGTTTTTGAACAAATGGCCATAAATACTTAAGCCTCCGCTCTGCCTATTAAGGAAAATGTCATGTAAGATAATGACTTTGTCTCTGCCTGACAGGAGTATTTGTACAGAAGACAGGATTATTTTAACCTCTCTGCACATTTGGAAACCTTGAATCTATCTGGTCTTTCTCTATACTGCAAGTAGTCGTGTGGCCAAATATGCCAAATTACTGAATACTTACGAGAAAAAAATGCCAGCGAAAGCTGAAACAGGCCAGGCATATAGGTGGTGGGACACACCTGCAGTACCAGCTGCCCAGGGACTGAGGCGGAGGATCCCCCGAGCCCAGGAGGTTGAGGCTGCAGTGAGCTATGGCACTCCAGTCTAGGCAGCAGAGTGAGACTCTGTCTCAAAAAAAAAAAAAAAAAGGCTGGGTGTGGTAGCTCACACCCATGATGCCAGCACTTTGAGAGGCAGAAGTGGGTGGATCGTCTGTGATCAGGAGTTCAAGACCAGCCTGGCCAACATGGTGAAACCCCATCTCTACTAAATACAAAAATTAGTTGGGCTTGTGGTAGGTGCCTGTAATCCCAGCTACTTGGGAGGTTGAAGCAGGAGAATCGCTTGAACCTGGAAGGCGGAGGTTGCAGTGAGCTGAGATTGTGCCACTGCACTCCAGCCTGGGCAGTAGAGCAAGACTCTATTTCAAAAGAAAAAAAAGCCAACAAAAAAGGTAAAACAACCTAATGTGATTATTGATTTTCCAAAACAGCAGTGGCTGATGGTTTCAATGAAAGCCAACTGGAATCCACACATAGATTTTTGTTTCTGCTGGTCAGTATGAATGTCAATTCTTATCAACTAAAAGCACACAGAGGGCAAGGGCCATCTGAGGTATTTCTGTATCCCTCGTGGCACCATGCTTGTGCACAGTAGGCATGCAGAATGCTGTCTGGACATGTAAATTGCTCAAAGTTTTGAGCAGTTTAGTGTAGTGAGCAGTGCAAAGGTTTGGAGGTGACCTGAGCTTGGGATGGAAGACTAACTCTGGCCTATCTCAGTAACGTGGCCTGAGACACATTACTTATCGCCTGTGTCATCTCATCTGAAACACAGGCCTGATGCTACCTCCCTATGGGGCTTGTCATGAGGATTAAATGAGAGAAAGTTTATATTATTTATCTATTTTTTTTTTAGAAGGTGTCTCTCTCTGTCACCCAGGGTGGAGTGCAGTGGCACAATCTCAGCTCACTGCAACCTCTGCCTCACAGATTCAAGTGATTCTCCTGCCTCAGCCTCCTGAGCAGCTGGGATTATAGGTGCCCACCACCACGCCTGGCTAATTTTTGTATTTTTTAGTAGAGACGGGGTTTCACCACATTGGCCAGGCTGGTCTCAAACTCCCACCTCAAATGATCCACCTGCCTTGGCCTCCCAGAGCACTGGGATTATAGGAGTAAGCCACCACACCCACAGCCAAAAGAAAGTTTATCATGTGCCTGGCACATGGTAGACAATAGGTGGCGGTCACTTCCTTTATTATTGCTTGTACAGTAAATGTAAGGAAGGAGATGAAGGTTTCAGATGTGAAAGTATCTAGAGTGACAGCAGGGTTTTCTCTGCATACAAAGAGGCCCAGAGTTACCAACACATGCCAGAAGTTTGTTTTGGTGTCCCTGTTGAAGATGGTGAGGAGGTTCTCCAACACATGGTAAGTGTGACAGACTGACTAAGTCCCCTCTCCCCACAGATGTCCACAGCCTCATCCCTGGAACCTGTGAATATATTACCTTTATGCAGTAGAAAGGATTTTGCTGATGTAAGTTAAGGATCTTGGGCTAGGGAGATGATCCTGGATGATCCAAGTAGGCCCCAAATAATGCCAAAGATTCCTGTGTGAGAAGGCGGAGGCTGGAGAATTATAGTCGGAAAAGACAGAGCGATGGGAAGATGCTACGTTGCATGGAGGAGGGAAAGAAGGCACCATGAGCCAAGGAATGCAGGCGGCCTCTAGATGCTGGAAAAGTCATGGATGGCAACAGGTTCTCCCCCAAAGCTTCCAGAAGAAACCAGCCCTGCCCACAGTTTGACTCTAGCCCAGTGAGACTGATTCTAGACTTCTGATCTCCAGAAGCACAAGATAATAAATCTGAGTTATTTTCAACTGCTGAGTCTGTGGTTATCTGTTACAGTGGCAACGGGAACTTGTACTGCGAATGATACCAAACCACAGCAACGAGAAAAAGACACTCAAATGGACAGACCTGAAATACACAGAAAACTTCATCTCTGCTGGACACTGTCGTTCCCGGTGTCATTAGATAGCTGGGATATTACTGACCACCAGGAGCTATTTGTCAGAACAGGAGAGACCTGGTCTTAATAGAGATGAGGTTCAATGCTACCTTTATTCCTAAAAATGCTGCCATTCCCCGTCGCTATGCTTTCATAGCATCTCCTGAATTGTTAAATGAAGCTGAATGGCTCATCATCACAGCCTGCTTAATACCTGTCATCTGGTAACAGGCTTCTGAATAAATACTACATCAAAAGGTTCTAATTCTCGCAGTACCCTGTCTATTCTTCATACTTGAAAATAAGACTATTTAATTTCACCTCATGTCTGGAGGTGCTAGCGAGTGAGTTCTTTTTGGGGGAAAATCCCAATAAGTTATGCATCAAGATAACCTATTACCTCTGGCCATGCGATTCAGAATTTAAATTTCTGAATGAAATTCTACGTTTCCGTCTTGAAACATCATAAAAGGGTCTCCACGAGGGAATAAAAATCAGCTTCCCCTTTGGAATAATGACTGCAGAGGGTCTACTAGATGCAAAATGTTGTATTAGGCCCTTTAGTCCACACAGCAATTCTATGAGGAGGAGATTATCCCTAATGTGCTGCTAAAGAAACGGGATTCAGAGACATTGAGTAACTCACCTGAGTTCCCAGAGCCTGTAAATAACACATTCCAGATTGAAGGTCACACTAGTCTGACTTCTGAGCTTGTGGGTGCCTTTTTCACTATGCCTACTGTCTCTGAGATAAAGGCATGGGGTAATATGTTGAATAAATGTGGGACCGGCTGCCCACAGCTCATCTGAGGGCTCCATGAAGAGCTTAAGCCAGCCCAGCTTTGAATCCACTGGTCTCCGCCATGCTGCGGTTCAGATGGGAAAGACACTGTGGCATCCACAGGACTGTGTGTGGATGGAAAGTTGGCTCTGCAGGGACTACAGTGATAGCCCCATCTATCACTGGCATGCAGGTTGTTTCATAAAACAGGGGAAAAAAATCCTCAGTAAGTGTTATAACAAAAACAGAGCAGCACGGCCGCTGCTGTAAAGATACAAGTCATGGAACCATTTTGCTTAGAACCACACAGACACATTCTTCCTAGACCAGAAAACATGCGGTTTAGATAGTCATCACTCCAATGTTGCTAAAATGCCATCACTGCAACCACCTTCTCGCCCCGCTTTTCCAGGCAGAGTATTTTTTCACAATCAATTCCCTCTACTCAGCAGTGTTTCTGAAATGATTTTGATCATGACCAACTAAGAAACACATTTTATCACAACTAAGAAACACATTTTATCACATGACTGCCTCACATGGAGCAAACCACCGTTCCAGGAACCAAGACATGGCCCCTTACAATGTCCAATGAGCTCTCCTACCTCCTCTTTCTGTTTTGTCCTGTTTAGTCCATTCAGTGGTCCTGACCATGCACTGACTTCATTCACCAGTGACCCCATATCCCCGTGAGAGGGCCGTGTTTATGGTTTGCGAGTTCGGGTCTAGAAAATGAGTGCTGGGGTTCCTACCTCCGGGGCGATATAATCTGGAGTCCCACAGAAGGTCCTGGTCGTGACTCCATCCATCATGTGTTCCTTGCACATCCCAAAGTCAGCAATTTTGATATGTCCTTCTGAATCCAACATGACGTTATCTAACTTCAGGTCCCTGCAAGGAACCAGGTTAACATCAGAGTCCTTCCCACAACATAACACGGTGTGCTTTGGAGCTGGTGAAACAGAAGGTTATTTGACTGCCTGTCAGCTCAGTGGCAATATTCACTATATGTCCCTGGAGAGCAGCATCAGGAGTTACTGTGTGTTGATATCTTCAGTGCCTAATATTGTGCCTGGGCTAGGGCATGTGCTTACATGCATACTGATTGAAGGACTAAATGACTGGACGAGTGATGCCCAATCTTGCCTGTGCCTGTGAATCTAGAGATTCCAACTGAGCACATTTGGGGAAGTCCCAATCATTTCATTTATTCATGTCCCACACAGGGGATCTGACACAAAACCAGGTTTGTAAAATCACAGGTTTAGAACCACCTCACTGGCTCACACACATGTCCCTTCCACTGCCTTGTGCCCTATATCATTTTAATTATGCCTCAATTAATACTGGAAGACACTCTTCCTTCTTTCAGCACAGCTAATAACAGGAAGAATTTTTTTTTTCCAGACCAAGTCTCGCTCTGTCACCTGGGCTGGAGTGCAGTGGAGCAATCTCGGCTAGCTGCAACCTCTGCCTCCCGGGTTCAAATGATTCTCCTGCCTTAGCCTCCTGAGTAGCTGGGATGACAGGTGTGCACCACCACACCTGGCTAATTTTTGTATTTTTGATAGAGATGGGGTTTCACCATGTTGGTCAGGCTGATCTCAAACTTCTGACCTCGTGATCCACCCACCTTGGCCTCCCAAAGTGCTGGGATTACAGGCGTGAGCCATCGTGTCCGGCCCATAACAGGAAGAATTTAATGCAATAGTTTTTTTCCTTGCCTCTCTTCGGTTCCCTGTGTTCTTCTTCGGCTGAATATCTATAACAGAAATTCCATTTCCATTGTTCCCTGACCTCCATTCCAAATAAAAGGCAGTGGAAGGAGCTGTCATTGGAGAGAAAAATGTATTTTCTTGCGGGAAAAGTAGAAACAAGATATAAAATCTTTGAAGTCTAGAAATCAGAAGGTGGATGTGATTGGCCTGCAGGCTGAGGAGGAAAATGGGTCCCAGCAGGTCTCTGTTCCTCCTGGGGGGGGATTTCAACTCTGTGTCTTGAGTCACCATCCCAGAATGACATGCCCACAGAGGCTCAGCTAACCTCTCTGCTGAGCTGCTGGTAGGAGGGCTTCAATACACACCTATAAATGATTCCTCTTTTATGAAGGAAGAACAATCCAATGGAAATCTCTGCTGCATAGAATCTGCAAAAGAAAACATGCTTCAGGTTTCTTACTTGCTTCTTTAGATGACTGTATACTTTTCATCCTCAAGTTCAAGCATCAAAGAGAGAAAAGAATGTCAGACCCAGAGGCTTTCAGAGACCAGCATCACTTGCACATGTTCTTCCAACCCCGGGTCCTCCCTCCATCACTTCGTCCTCCAGCTCATCCATGAATGAGACAGCTCATAAAGCCAATGAGGCTGGCTTCTTATTCTTGTGTGGGGAAGGTGGACAAGTAGCTTATTCCCTGCAGAGTAATTTCTAATACAATCATTTAAAGAATGGATACCAGTTAGATTATTCTATGTCAGGAGTATGGCAGAGTAGAGAAAATTTCCATTTTCCTATTCACTGACAGAATACACTGGTGTTTGAAAATATAATATAATTACGCCCTGGAAGGCAAAGGATAGTGGGTGATCAATGCTTTAGCTCGTTTTTCCACTCCTTCCAAGTGTTGGAATAAATGAGACACATTGTGATTCATTCTGCGTTTACTCTTTTAAATAATTCATAATAAAAAGCAGTAACTATCATCCCTTCAAAATTGTTAATAGGTTAATAGCTGAAACTCAGATTAAAAGGGGGTGAAGATTTTAAAATCTGCATAGCATTTAGGAGTCTTTGAAGTCCAAGAAGCCACAAGACTGTGCCTGTGCAAATACCACATGCAGGAGGCTTAAAATAAGCACACATGTCTACATGAGCAGAGGAAAAAAATCTCTAATGATTAAGATCAAACCCTTAAAGAGGGGTCACCTCTGAAGGCTGGAAGAGTGCAGGGAGGGGGAGAAGGAAAGGATGGGATTACTACAATCTTTGCATTATTTTTTATGCTTTTCTAAACTTTTCTGCCACATAAATAATATAATGAAAGGATATTGGACGAGTCACCTTTATGTTACTTCCTAACATAGGGTGACTTTTTGCTATCTGCTCTTTATAGACCTGTGTGATCAAGCTTTATTTTGTAATCTGAGTATTTTAAGGCTTTATAACTACAACATAAGAGAGAAGGACAGGCATTTCTGAAAACTGAAAAAAAAACAATAAGGGCAGAAAAATCCCCCTTTGGCATTCTTAAAGCCTGCAACCAAAGATTTCCCTATTCTGCCTTCAGTTAATCTTCCCAGGGGTGTATAATCCCTCACAGGCCAAAAATTCTTCCAATGGATCTTTTAGATGGCACAGCAGCCAGATCCTATTAACAGTTACTGCCTTCATTAATTGGGGTGCACGCCCATGAGGCTTCCTCACTGGGGAACTAAACTCGCCCTTCGTTTAGGCTTGCTCAGCTGGTACTTCCTGAGACTTCCTGGCCCCTGAGAGGTGAGATGTTTCTGGCACCAAAGTCCCAGCTCCACCCCTCGACCCCACCAGATGAACCTGTCATCTTCACCGGGAGCCCACGTCTTCCACCTGTGCCGCTGTCTCCCACATCCCATCATGCAAGGTGCCTTCCAATGAAACATTCTTAACTGAGCTCATGAATCTCCCCCCAAACCATCTCCTCCTTGGTGGCTGACCCCACCCAAACCTAAAATGGGGTCTCACTTGAAGGGGTTTCTCTCTTCTCTCCCCTGCAGTCACCAAGTTCTGCTTTTCTTCCTCCAGGATGTTTTTCAAAGACACTTATTCCTCTTTGACTCCAAGGTCAAGCCCTAACTACAGCTCCATTCCTTCTCATCTATAAAGAATCTCACCAGCCCCTGCACCAGCTTCTACATTCCCATTCATGCTTCCTTCTTCCCTCAGCCAGAGGGCGCTGCAAAAACTTAATCTGATGGTGCCTTCCTTCTTCCCTCCTCCACAGCCAGGCTCCTTACCAGGGTCTTCATCTAGAGCCCTACCTACCACGTTCCACACCCCCCAGTCCCCCAAATAATCTCACACTATCTCCCACACCTGCTGAGCTGCAAGGCTGCTCCCTGGACTTGCTTCAGCATCTGTTCAAATCTATTCTTGGAAGGCTCTTCCCTCACCTCTGGGCTGGGCATTTCCTGGGGATACACTTCCGTCTTTCCCTGACTTTAGGGGCTTGCATGGTATCCTGTGCCTGTCTCTAAAGTTACAGCAACACACTATTAATTGTTAGGTGACTTCTCCAACTCCAGGTTGGGAGTGTAAACTCCCACCAGAAAGGGAGTACCTTGTTCCTTTCACACCCCCAGTGCCTGGTGCAGAGCAGGTGTGTGATAACCATTAGTTGAAGAAGAATGACTCCGTCAATGAGGGTGGGCCTGGGTGATGAGGAATACGCCAGCATCTCCAGTTTATTGGAAATAGAATAAACTGCTCCTTAGGAACCATCTTAGATGGATCCTACCCATATATCTGCCCCGCCCTCAGGAGGTTATAGCACTCAACCTACAACTGGGCAGAATCCTACTTTCTCATTTCACCCAGCAGAAGTTCCCAGTTGAAGATGGGCATGGTGGCTCACTCATGCCTGTAATCCCAGCATTTTGGGAGGCCGAGGTGGGCAGAGAGCTTGAGCTCAGGAGTTTGGGACCAGCCTTGGCAAGATGGTGAAACCCTATTTCTACCAAAAAAAAAAAAAAAAAAAAACCCAAGAAAATTAACCAGGCATGGTGGTGCACACCTGTAGTCCCAGCTACTCAAGAGGTGGAGGTAAGAGAATCACCTGAGCCCAGGAGGCAAAGGATGCAGTGAGCCGAGATTGCGCCACTGCACTCCAGCTTGGGTGAACAGTGAGACCCTCTCTCCAAAAAAAGGAAAGAAAAGAAAGGAAGTTTCCAGTTGGTAGAACTTGGCTACTCAAATAAGGGACTTAAAAAATAATACTTACACTGCTTGTGGTTCCTTAAATTTTCCTACTTGCTGAATGTGGTACATGAGGTCCCCGCCGTTGACGTATTCCATGACGAAGTACAGCCGGTCCTGCAGACCAAGGTTCAACACGTGAGCAGGGCTCCTCCCCAGCCCAGCCAACCAGCCAAGTGGTTTCCTTCACTCTTCACAGGCTCTGTTTTGCTTTCTCATTAGTAAAATGGGGACTGCATGGGCAGATGTACTCAGTTTAAAGCTCTTCAACATTTTTTTCCAAAGAAAGAATAAGTAATAAACCCTATTGCATGAGGGCCTTGGGAGGTATCAAGTCATTACGTAACCCTGAAATAAAGGCTCTTCATCAACATGTCTGTGCCTTCCGGTTACATATGCTGTCTATTATAGTAATGGCCTCGAACATTCTTCCCTATTTTCCTACACATATAATAAATTTCTAAGTTAGGGATGGTGTGAGGAATCCACGTTAGCCAATTATTTCATTTTAACTAGTGTTTCTCGATGGCCCAAATGTTTAATGGCTGGTTTGCAGTGTCTGGGAGGTGTGCCATACTAATGTAGTATTGTGTTTAAATGGACAATCCTGAAAGCGCATCTCTTAGGCTTAGGAATTACACATGCTCAATGATATTTACTGGACATGGGACAGGGGACTCTAAATGGAGAGGCTAATCAAATGTTCTTTTGCATCTGTAATATACCCAAACACTGTTTTTCTATTTTCTCTGTCACTGGTATGCTAAGTGTTGGCCCCATGATGGGCATGTATCTGAGACCCAAATAAATCTACACATTTATGAGGACATTAAGCTGCAACAGACAGGGAGACGGAGGGGGTTAACAGTGAAATAATGACCTCTGCTCTCTGCTAGAAATCATCCCCATTTCACAGAGGCTATTAAACATTAAAGTGCTGCACAGGGAGGAAAAAAAAATGATGAAGCTGGTGCTAACAGCCAGGAAGCAGCCCTGGGAGCCTTCGGCTCCAGCTTTCCTGTTATGAACTTTAATTTCATCTTCATTTCTTTCTTTTGTAGCTTTCCAGAGCTTAATCAGGGTAACCAGGGTTACAGGCTCTGGGCTGGGATTCAGAGCTGTGGTTGACTTTCCCGAGCATGCTGCTCTCATCTCCCTGGCATGACTTGATTTGGAGTCAGTGGGAGAGGTGGGAGCAGGAAGCTCAGGGCGCCGCCAGCGCTAGGCTGACACACAGTGGCCAGTGCCTGACTCCGCGGTCACTGCTGCACACCCAGAGGCTCCCTGTGGCTGCAAAGCCATTTTGAGATCCTAAAACCCACAAGCACTGAGAGGCACCTCCTAAGAGTTTTCAGAGAGAGGTATACAGCAGAAAGCTGATCTCTTCATCCATGGGCAGCTGAAAACAGTAATAACCACATCAATTATAGCTACTGATTATGGAGTCATATTTAAAATGGACAGCCTCCAAGGAGTGGAAGGACTGGCTTTGGCAAAACATCTCACTATGGTGCTATCTAAATGTCTATATTTCTTGTAGGCCACTCGCAAGCTCTGCAACTGACTGATTAGTGCTTTGGAATGTTCTTTTTTGTCCTCTATTTAGTGTTGCTTTGTGACAGGGCTCAACAAACATTTTCCATAAAGGGCCAGACAGTACGTATTCATATGTTAGGCCTTGAGTGTCTCTTGCAATGACTTAGCTCTGCCTTCCTGGTGCAAAAGCAGCTGTGGCTGATAGGTAGAGGAAGGAATGTGGCGATGTCCCAAAAACACTCTTTATGGATGCTGAAATTCGAATGTCACCTTATGTTCACGTGTCACGATGTATTACTTTTTGGATTTATTTTCCACGACCTTTCCTACACTCACGGGCCATAGAGAACAGGCCACAGTTTGCCAATCCCTGTTGCGTGGCACTGAACAAGAACATACTCTTTTACAAAATCAAGTCTCCTTATGTTCCAATGACAATTTGGCAGCTGAACTTGTGATCTTAAAAAGACATGACTGTGAGTTGGTTTTTTGCTTTTGTATCCCCAATGCTCAGCACAGTACCAGACATGAAGAAAACCTTTCATAGAAATGTTTGCTGAATTAAGGCCAGGCGCAGTGGCTCACACCTGTAATCCCAGCACTTTGGGAGGATAGCGTAGGGGGGATCATTTGAGCTCAGGAGTTCAAGACCAGCCTGGCAACAAGGTGAAACCCTGTCTCTACTAAAAATACAAAAATTAGCTGGGCATGGTGGCACACATCTGTGGTCCCAACTAGTTGGTAGGCTGAAGCTGGACGATCACCTGAGCCTGGGAAGTTGAGACTGCAGTGGGACGTGACTGTGCCCCTGAGCTCTAGCCAGGGCAAGACAGCAAGATCCTGTCTCAAAAAAAAAGAAAGAAATGTTTGGCCGGGCGCGGTGGCTCACTTTGGGAGGCTGAGGTGGGTGGATCACCTGAGGTCAGGAGTTCAAGACCATCCTGGTCAAAATGGTGAAACCCCATCTCTACTCAAAATACAAAAATTAGCCAGGCATGGTGGTACATGCCTGTACTCTCAGCTGCTCAGGAGGCTGAGGCAGGAGAATCCCTTGAACCCGGGAGGCAGAAGTTACAGTGAGCCAAGATGCCCATGCGACAGAGTGAGACTTCATCTCAAAAAAAAAAAAAGAAATGTTTGCTGAAATAAATGGCATGAATGCCAAGCAGAGGACCTTACAGAGAAGGCACACCCCCAATCTACCAGTGAGAGAGGTCGGAGGTTGTCCCCAGTCACCTCTGCTTGACATTGCATCACACCTTTCTCCAAAGGAACAAGGATGCTAAGAAGCTCTGGGCTCAGGTGTACCCCTGAGAGCTGGATACTACATTGCATAAAAACACCCCAGGTCCTTACCACTGTCTGGAAGCAGGAGTGCAGCTGTGTCAAGAACGGGGGTTTGTCTAGCAGGGCCAAGACTCTCTTTTCCACCATGGTGCACTCCACGTCATCATCCTGAATGACCACGTCCTTCTTCAGGATTTTGATTGCGTACAGTTCTTCTGTTCCCTTCCTGTCAGCAAGCATCACCTGAGAACACATGAAGAACAACCTGAACACTTTAAAGCACATCTCCTGGGGGCGGAGGGAAGGAGCCAGGCCAGATGATGGCTCAGTGACAGTCTGTGCACGTTCGTCAATGTGAGATACAAAAATATTAAACTCTATGTGCAAATTTGGACATTCTACACATCACTACAAATTCAATCCATGCAGCATTTACATAACTTCAATGCCATCGAGATTCGTAAGTGGCCACACTGCCACATGATGACACTATTTTGGCTGCTAAAATGAATACTCAACATTCAGTATCAGGATTAGTTTGGAATTATTCACATTTTTCAGGAGTATCCTTAGAGTAAAAGCTGACTGACATTTATAATCTCACAAGTCAAGAACCTAGGCTTGAAATCAATTCCTGGGTCTAATATGAGCTGTGGGGCCACAGAACCCAAATGGAGATATACAGGCAGATTGCAGAAGATTGCATGCCAGTATCTCTGAATGATTATATTTGCTTGCTACAAGTTAACATTTAATTTTTAGTTGTGAAAACTCTTCATCAACCAGCATTTCTGAGCATCCCCTCTGTTCTGAACACTGAGAAATAGTAACACGGAGTGAACCGACTATAGCTTTTTGAATGAAGTTGTTTTTAATGAAGTAGAAACCACCTGAGGACTGTGCACTCTGATCTGAGAGATCAAACAGATGCCTCTTTATCAACTAAGATGAACCCTAATGTCAGAGGCATTCGAACCAGAGTGACTCCATCTTGAATAAGGGATGGGAAAAATAAGGTGGAGCCTTGCCAGGAGGTCAGGCATTTTTCGTCACAGGACGAGATGGGAGGTCAGCAGGATGGGTATCATAACATACAGGTCAGAAAGACCCTGATGATAAAACAGGATGCAGTAAAGAAGCCAGCCAAAAGCACCAAATCCAAGATGGCGATGGAAGTGGCCTTTGACTACCCTCATTGCTCATTATATGCTAATTATCATACATTAGCATGCTAAAAGACACTCTGTGCGCCCCGACAGTTTAAAAATGCCATGGCAATATCCGGAAGTTACCTTATATAGTCTAAAAGATGGATGAACCCTTAGTTCTGGAAATTGCCGGCTCCTTTCCCAGAAAACTCATGAATAATACATCCCTTGTTTAGCATATGATCAAGAAATACCTCTAAGTATGCTCAGTCAAGCAGCCCATGCTGCTGCTCTGCCTGTGGAGCAGCCGTTCTTTTGTTTCTTTACTTCCCTAATAAACTTGCTTTCACTTTATTCTGTGGACTCACTGTGAATTCTTTCTTGTTTTAGGTCCAAGAACCCTCTCTTGGGGTCTGGATCAGGACCCTTTCTGGAAACATTAAAGTTAAGGAAACGGTTACCTATGGGTTGAGGGTTCAGCCCAGCTGGCATGGCAAATTTTGAAATTCCTCCAGCTGCAAGATGAACCACTCTTGCTAAGCTCCCTAACAGTAAGAACTCTGAGGCCCCTCCTAACTCTGATTTACAACTCAGACCACTATGACTCAGACTGGACTGAAGACTGGTCTTACAAACATTCTTTTTGGTGAAGCAACTGTAGGCCTTAAACCAGATTCAGCAGCTTGCAGAGCCAGCTCACAAACTGCTTTTGTGTCCTGTGGTTTACCTTTTGATGTAAAGAGCCGAATTCCACCTTAAAAAAATTTTTTTTTTAGATGGAGTCTCCCTCTCTTGCCCAGGCTGGAGTGCAGTGGCACGATCTCAGCTCACTGCAACCTCCACCTCCCAGGTTTCAGTGATTCTCCTGCCTCAGCCTCCAGAGTAGCTGGGACTATAGGCACACACCACCATAACCAGCTAATATTTGTATTTTTAACAGAGATGGAGTTTCACCATTTTGGCCAAGTTGGTCTCAAATCCTAATGTCAAGGGATCCACCTGCCGTGGCCTCCGAAAGTGCAGGGATTACAAGCATGAGCCACTATGCCTAGCCAAATTCCACCTCATTTTAATGCTAAGTCCCCACCCAAAGTGAACACAAGATGCATGTTGCATGTACGTTCATCCCCTGTGCCTGTGCTCAGCTTCCCTCAGCAGTTTCTTCCCAAACCTGTTGAATATGGATGACTCTATTGTGTAACACGGATCCTGTGAGGCATAAAACCCAATCTACCCTTTCACTCTTCAAAGACAGGGCAACTTCATTTCACACCACAGACTTTCTTTTTTGGGTTTGCAAACTGGTATCACCAATAAACCTCTCCTATCTATCATTTAGCCATCCTGGTGGCATTTTGAATAACTGTACAAATCACAGAGACCTAATGTGTTATTCAGGAAACCTCAGGGAGAGCAAAATTGATTCGAGATTCTCTGCAGAAGCCCCTCCAATTTGCAGATGAACATCTTCTTACCTTTCCAAAACTCCCCTTCCCCAGCACCATGAGGAAATTGAAGTCGGTGAGTTTCACTCGGTCAAGGTTGTTGGAAGGTTGTTTCCTGTCTTCAGAGGGACTGATGACTTTGTTGCCAGCAGGGCCAAGCTTGGCTTTCTAAATAACAAGCACAAATGGGAAAAGTATGGGTCATTTTTCTGGGGAAAGAGTGACAGAAACCACAGCACTGTAACTAAGTGTAATGTTTGCTTGGAGGTGGGATGGCATGAAAAAAGGAAATAGGGTGAGGACTGAATATCTGTTCAGATATCAGTGGCTACACTCGATCTGCCGGGAAAGTCTGCAGAGTAGCAGAAAATTGCTCTATCAAGAGACAACTCGGCATAGTTAACTTAGAACTGACGCGTGGGGATTCGCGTACGGCTGGTTGGTTGTAATTCTAGCATGTACAAGTTGACTTGGGAAAAACAGTGCTTCGGGTCCATTAACATAACAAAGGAAATAAACTACATACTGATGCTTTTCGTATTTGTAGATTTTACAATTTAAAATTAATCTGCATGAAGGAAACTTGTACCCACACCAAAAGGGAGGAAAATGTTCTCTGGAGAGGAATGCTTAAATGGCAAGCCATGGGGATGATTTATTGCTATTTTGAAATGTGCAGTAAGAACAGGGGTTGGTGTTTTTCCTTTTTTTTTCTTTAAATCAAGACTTAAACTCACAAAAAGAAATGGTGATGTGCGTGAGAAGGGAAAGGTGCCCTTTGTGCCTGGTGGGCAAGCTACCAAAGGGGTTTTCATAAGCCCTGGAGGGAACCCTGCCCTCATGACTCTCACCAGGCCCTCAGAGTCCATGTCAAAGGCAAAAGGTAAAAGGGCTCTGGAGAAAAGGGAAGGCAAGTAAGAACCCACAGGGATGTCTCACTGTCACCGAAGGAGCATTGGAGAAGCCTGGAGTGGGCTGAGTCTCCCAGCACAAGACTCTGAATTCTGAATATCTGCCTGATGGGGAGGAGCTGGTTGTAGGAAGCATCAGCTGCTGATAGGTCCAGAACCCTGACTGGGCCTCCACAGCCACAGCACTGAGCCCGAAGGCAATGACTCTTGCCTTGGATACATTCTTTTTCTTTTTTTTTTTTTTTATTTTTTGAGAAAGAGTCTCACTCTGTCGCCCAGGCTGGCGTGCAGTGGTGCAATCTTGGCTCACTGCAACTTCCGTTTCCCAGGTTCAAGCGACTCTCCTGCCTCAGCCTCCTGAGTAGCTGAGATTATAGGCTCAAGCCACCATGCCCAGCTAATTTTTGTATTTTTAGTAGAGATGGGGTTGCACCATGTTGGTCAGGCTGGTCTCGAACTCCTGACCTTGTCATCTGCCTGCCTTGGCCTCCCAATTTGCTGGGATTACAGGAGTGAGCCACTGCGCCTGGCCACCTTGGATACATTCTTAAAGAGAGGGTGCAGCACCTCCCTCTCCAGCGCAGCGGATCTGAGCTCCAGAGCCCTTGCTATGAACTCACTGAAGTCAACACCTTTGTGGTTACCAAGATGATGGTGAAGGAGGTAAGGAAGGCACTCAAGGGGCTTTACTATGGATCAGAGGCAGAGAAGGCTTACAAGAAGTCACCCATTGTCCCTCTTTGAGCACCACCATGCCTTCATCCCACAAATACTGACTGAGCCCCCTTGCGCTCTCTAGGGGAGCCTCTGCATCTACAGGAGGAGCCTCTGCTGATATAAGAATTCAGCAGGACTGGTTTCACAAGATACAGGTCACAAAGACCCCCTCATAAAACAGTATCTGCTAAAGAAGCCAGCCAACCCCCGCCAAACCCAACATGGCAATGAAAGCAATCTCTGGTCTCCTCACTGCTCATTGTATGCTAATTAAATACACTAGCACGCTACAGGAAACTCTCACCAGTGCCAAGACAGTTTACAAATGCCATGGCAACATCTGGAAGTTAGCCTTATGGTGTGAAAGGGGAATCCTCAGTTCTGGGACTTCTCTGCCCCTTTCCCAGAAAACTCATGAGTAATCCACCCCTTGTTTAGCATTCGATCACGAAATAACCATAAAAACAGCCAACCAGCAGCCTTCAGGGCTGCTCTGCCTAAGAAGCAGCCACCCTCTTATTCCTTTACTTTCTTAAAAAACTTGCTCTCACTTTAGTCTGTAGGTTTGCTCTTAAATTCCCTCCTGCACAAAGCCAAGAAGCCACATGGCCTGTTAGGCTGAACCCCAGTTTTGGGGCTCACCCTGTGACACTGCCAGCTGTGACTGGATTCCCAACCCTAACAGTGCTCGGCACAGGACATGCACTCAGCTTTCTGGCTGAACACATACAGAAATGAAGCTCAAATGTGCTCATCAGATGCTGTGCTGTTGAGCGATACTTTTCTCTTATAAGAATAACTTGCTTGTGGACGGGCGTGGTGGCTCACACCTCTAATCCCAGCACTTCCAGAGCCTGAGGCAGGTGGATCACGAGCTCAGGAGATCAACACCATCCTGGCCAACGTGGCGAAACCCCGTCTCTACTAAAAATATATAAATTAGCTGGGGGTGGTAGTGTGTCCCTGTAATCCCACCTACTTAGGAGGCTGAGGCAGAAAAGAATCGCTTGAACCAGGGAGTCGGAAGGTGCAGTAAGCCATGATCATGCCACTGCACTACAGCCTGGAAACAGAGTGAGACTCCATCTCAAGAAAAAAAAAAAGAACTCGCTTGTACAGGAACCAAGTCTCAGGACTGGCCTACATGCTGAGATGAATTCAGTTGGCCCCATTTGACCAGAGACATTGAAACATGAGGGAGAGATGGCCCTGACATTTTTGCTTCCATACTGAAAGTGTGAAACACGGTTGAGCTCTACCTCTGTTGGCAGCGTGTGGTGGAAACACCTGTAAACCTGGGGCCACTAGAAGGCCCGTAAAGATAAAACATGAACTGCAATGCTACACACACTGGCCTGTCCCCTTTGGTAGGGCTGGCCCAGCCCTCTACACACTGGCCCCAGCAATGATTCTAGGTCGATACACTTCCGAGGCTGCGTCTAAATTTAATTTTTAAAATTTTTTTGAGATGGAGTTTCACTCTTGTTGCCCAGGCTGGAATGCAGTGGTGTGATCTTGGCTCCCTGTAACCTCCTCCTCCTGGTTCAAGTGATTCTCTTGCCTCAGCTTCCTGAGCAGCTGGGATTATCAGCACCTGCCACCACATCCAGCTAATTTTTTCATATTTTTAGTAGATACGGGGTTTCACCATGTTGGCCAGGCTAGCTTTGAACTCATGATCTACCTGCCTCGGCCTCCCAAAGTGCTGGGATTACAGGCATGAGCCACTGTGCCTGGCTGGCTGTGTCTAAATGTAAAAGAATAGACAGGAAGTGCAAATTTGGGATGAGAATCCTGACTATGCCACTCTATTCTGCACTTATGACTTAGAATAAGAACAAAGTAATCAGAAAGAGGCACAGATGAATTGTATTTTCTCAGGATTCACAAGAACATCTGAAAACACCCAAACGCAACTGACTGATTGATCTGAGGTGCTTGAAAACCATGTTCACCTGGGTAAAGTTGCTATTCATACCACTAACAAATACCCAGCTTCCATCTGTAGCACGTGGTTCTACCCAGGTATGCCTGACTCCTGTGACATTCCAAGGCAGTCATTCCTCCTTTCTCCTTTGACACTCAACCACCACAGTGAGGGGATATGAGCTGACGCAGTGAGGAGCCTCCAGATAGGCAGGGGGCTTTTTACACGCACTGCCATCTACCACCTCACCTGCAGACATAACCTAACGCCGGTCTTGTGAGTTTTACACTATGATCTTAGTATGGTTATTAGGATAGGACATCGCCCACAGTCAGGCTCAAGGCTGACACAAGCATTTTTACATTCAAGTACTTCTGAACTCGGCTGCAATATGACCTTGGCCTTGGGTCTCAAATCAATCACCAGGTTTGGGAGGAACATCCACAAAGGAGGCACCTGCTCCCACAAGGTGGAGCTGGGCAGAGGAAACCACGGGCTTTCGGCTCTGCCTGGGCAGATTCTTTCCAGCAGGAAGCAGAGCTGAGTTTCTAAAGCAGAGCTGAGTTTCTGGTAGAGCGGGCAGCTGGTTGGGAAGGAGACAGGTCGGTATGTGGGGTCCAGAGCAGGCTGACACATTCATGTCAGGGAGCTGGCTTCTCAGTGACCTGGCCCAGAGGGCAGAATGGATTTCTCCCCAGCCCAAGCCAGCCCTGAGATCAGAGCAGACCCAGCATCTTAATGCCCCTGCTCCCGTCAAGAGCAGCGTTTCTCTTGTTTCCACCACAGAGCACACTTCCTGAGCTGTCTCCATGCTGCCACCTGCAGGCCTTGCTGACAAAGAACACAGAGCAATCTCCATCGCCAAGTTTTTGAAAGCAGCTCTTTGATGGTAGGAAACTCCAGGGAATGACACTCTCAGGGGTCTGGGCCTGGCTTTGAGCAAGTCCCACTTTCAATCAGGGTCTAATCAATGCTGGGGTTGGAGGAGCAGCTATGTCACTGGGGGCGGGGGATGCCTGAGGGCAGGGGGACAGGAACCACATAGGACTTCCAGGTGGGCAGGGGCGCTAGGGCTGAGGAACAGATGCTGGGTGGGGCTTGACCTCCAGACCTCCAGTCAGTGCCTCCCTGGCCTGCCATTTCTCCTCCACCCCCTAGCCTGGCTGGCCTCTCCCACCCCTTCAGGTCCCAGCTTAACTGCTATTTCTTCAAGGAAACTGAGACAGAAAAAATACAGGGTGGTAGCAGGAGAATAGAAAATCCCAGGCAGCAGTTTCACGGAACTAGCAAAAAAAAAAAAAAAAAAAAAATTGAAATAACTGCATAAGCTGGGGGCCCAGAAGACCCTAAAAATCAGGATATGGGTCAAGCTGGCTAAGACCAACTGGACCCAACGTGGTGCTGGATTTGACCTAGTGTCACCTGGGACCTCACTGTCTCCTCATTAGCATCCTCAGTCCTATACCCACCAGTGCCATGACTAGTCCAGGAAGACTGATATCTGGTGTAAAAATTGGTGGCACCACATTTCTGAGAAATCTCCACCTTTATCTGGGAATCTTCAGGACTATTACTCCCCTTAAAGAAACCCACAAAGGTAGCAGGCCCAAAGT